ACTACACCAACCTCATCACTCACACTGCCTTCCACATCACCAACACCTCCAACTCTCACATCGATATTAGTTTTTTTGGTCTTTTGCTGTTCCATTTCTTGTCCTTTTGCTCCTCTTTCCTCTTTCTGTTCATTTAAATTTTTTTCTTCTGCATTCTGCTTTTATCATGCGAATTTTGCCAAAAATTTGTTATGATTTTTACAAAATTTAACAAAGCAAGCACGGCGTTTGAGACACGCAAGCAGAAACGCATAATACAAAAAATACCACGTTTGAGGATTATTTGGGTGAGATAGAAAAAGAGATAAACAAAGGTATTAGTTTAGCATCTGCTGTGATTTTTATGAAAAGCATTGATAATAGAAATATTTAAGTTGTAAATGAGTTTACTTACCACATTTTTGGACAATTCTGAAATTTTTTCCTTTGTATTCTGTGATCCATTCAAATTTTCTTTTTGAGTCAAATCAGATTGCCTCTGATTTTGAATTGGTTTCGATGGGTCTTTTGGGCTTTCTTTTAGAATATCTTCCGTGTTATTTTTGTCATCTAACTTGACTTCCCCGACGTAAGTCTCTTTGGTTCGTAACTCCTCGCCTTGTTGAGGGGACTTGAATTCCCGATCTTTTACAGAGATTGACGTATATTCAACTGGAACATCTGCATTTTTAAGGGATTGAGAATACTCTCGCTGCTTTTCGAAACCGAATTCCTCTCCTTCCAATAGATCGTCTGAATCATCTTCAGTTTTGTTTGCTTTTTGGAAGGAACCTTTGCTTTCGTCCAAAATTTGTCTCTTATTATTATTACTTTTGAAATTTGTGTCAGATTGGGGAGCATTATCCGCTTCTAAGTCTATGTGTCCGCGTTCGTTGATAGTCAGTGATTTGTTTTGTGTCTCTGAAGGTTGTAGACTTGATTCATAGTTATCTTTAACAGCATTGTAAACCATTATGCCAGCAGCTACAGGGGCTCCAACTGCTACCGTTAGAGCACCTTCGACATTTGTTAGCATCCTTTTTACGCCAGAGTCTTTTTTAAGCTTCCTTGAGGTGTCTTCGAAATTATCCATAGGAAATTGTGCAAGCCTTGAGAGGGACTGTTGGTTTGAAAAAACGGATTTCTGAGTAATAACACCATCATTGGATTCTTTGCTATCAATGACGTTTTTAGCTGCAGAAGAAACCGTTTCTAGCGGTTCTGCAAATGCATTGTGATTCGTCCAGGATATCGCCGAAGACTCTATTTTGTCAATTTCTTTTGTTAATTCAGCTTTATGCTGCAATTCTCCATACTTCAAGGTATCGGAGTCAACTCCTTCATGATTTTTTTGGTCTGAGCTCACGGAGACCTGCACAACCGGTTGAATTATATTTATTCCGTTGTCAGATGTGAAAGATTCAAACGCTGGTCTCATGTACTGGTTTGGTGACTCCGTCTTTTCTTCCTTTAATTTTTGAGTAGACTCATGCTCACATTCAGTTCTCCCAAGTTGCAGGTCGCCTTCAGCAAATGGTGAGGCCTTGTCAGACGTATACTTTTGCACATCTTCAGCATCAAGAGTAGCAGAAGTTCCTTGACTCGGATCCACACCTTTACCTTCCGAGAGTATCTTTTCGCATTTTATTGTGTCTTCAAACTTGACTGGGTGCAAAGGATCATGAGTCATAGACAGAGTCTTGTCAATGGAAGTCCGTTCTGAATCTTTTGACTCAGTTTCAGCACTTCTGTTCACTGTCCATCTTTCCATTGGCAAAGATATTTCCTCAGATCTCATTTCACTTTCTTTAGGAAGAGACTGATCTTCACTGTTCAACTCAGAAATCCCTCCATCGGCCAAGAGAGTAAGACGTGAAAGATCTTTGGCTTTGGCTATTCTACCCTCCTTTGCATCATTTTCCTCTGTTTCTCTGTTTTCTAGTCCCGATATTGCTTTGCTCTCCATATCCACTGGATGAGAGACATCGTGTGTTTCCGAAGTACATGTTTCATCACAAACTGCAGGTTTGTGTAAAGGTTCGTTTTCGTGATCCTGAATTATTGGTCCTTCACTAGCTGCCCTCAAGTTTTCCATTAACTTTTCGTCCTTTTCTGAACTTGTTGCATCAGTAGTGATTTTGACATTAATTTGATTTTCAATTAAAGAATCAGTCTTTTCGACATGACGACACTGTAATTCGCTGTTGTTAATTGAATTAGAAGGTTCAAGTATGGATGTGTCACTTAGTTTCACTTCCTCTCCTTCAGAATTAGTGCTGATTTGGTCGCTCTTTGGAACTAAAGGTCTTCGGAAATCCTCAGGATGTTCAGTTGCACCGCCTTCAGACTTATGACTAGAAGTGATCTGCCGATCGTCTTTGCCTGTAGCAGACGAAATTTTGCTATTTGAGGCATTATCACTCTTAAGCTTTTCCTTGATTGATTGATAAGCTAGAGTGCCACTAACAGCTACAGCACCAAGAGCAACAGCAAGACCTGTTCCTACTTTAGTTGCGGCATCAGCCAAATTGGACCGCAACTTTTTGGTATCAGGGGCAATTTTTTCCTCCACTTCAGCACTCTCCGTAGCTTCAGTAGGCATTTTCCTCCCGGTTTTTTCTCTTCTTTCAAGAGGATGCTCTACTTCTATGGAGGGTTTATTGTCACCTACTTCCTGACCTTTGGGCAGGTTCGTAACCTGGATTGCATTTGCCAGTGGAGTTGGGGTCAACTTGTCATTTGACATAGGCAGCAGGTATGATGTTTGATGTTGATAAGAGACGGTTTGAGTTGATGATTTCTGGTTATCCTCAGAACAAGCCAGCTGTATTACATAAGGCACATTAATGGGTTCCCCACTTCTCAGTATGACATCAAGTGTGGAAGTTTGGCGAGTGACGGGGTCTTTAATAATTGTTCGATGGGCATCAATCAATCCTGCCCTAATGGCTTCCCTTAGAAGAAGGCGATGTCCAGTGTAAGGATCATTTACAAATCCAGTTTCTCTGTCGACCCATCCAAGGCTAACAGCAGTTTGGAGATCAACAGAGGTATTAACAGTATACGATGGTAAGGAGTCGACGGAAGTCTTAACATTTACGTAAGACGACGAAGGCGTTCTGTCGCCACTGTCACCAATATCCTCTTGTAGCTCAATACACAAGGATCGATTGAATAACAGTTCATTCACAACATTTTCTGGATTCGATGAGATTAGTTTACCCACCGGAAGATATTTCTGTGATGTTCTAAAGTAGATAACTGTTCTTTGACCACACAGTGGTCCCTCAACAAAGGCATTTAGAATAGAGACATAATTTTTGGTGTGTGGATTGAGAACTGTTCTGCTCTGAGAATTGATCAAATTGAGGACTTGTGCTGCAGCGTAAGGAATCCTCTGGCCATGACTCATTCTTCTGCGACCGAAGGGCTCCAATTCTTCGGTCACCAAAAGGGTAGCCATTGGCCAACGAATCCAAATTTCTACGGGAATATTCTCATCATTCAAATAATAGGCTACACTTCTATAGTATCCTGTTCGTTTATCTTGAACCAGAGATATCTCTTCGTCAATAATCTTCATTTCAATAGCCTCCTTCAGAGTGACTTGTCGCATCGTTTGAGTCGTGATGAGCCCCGTTGATGGATCGAAACGTCCCGCTTGGATGGCTCTTGCAAGACTTATTTTTTCCCCTGAAAGCTTTTCACTCGGTTGTTCGTCTTTCTTTGGTTTTGTTTTCAGAGTTATTTTTGCCAGGCTCATCTTCTTGTCTCCTTTTATGTGTTTTATTCCATGATGTACGATGATAGACTTGAGACGCGAGTAGTCTTCCGATGAGATCTTCTCAGACACCTCACCATCAGCTGCATTCACATTATTTGTCATGAGAACTTTCAGCAGTTCGTTTCTCCAACTTGATTCTGTTACAAACCTTTCTGCTCTAGCTATGGTATTGGCAGCATCGAGAACGCTTGCAAGAGAATAATAACGGGTCCTCGAAGCTCCAGACTTTCCAGTGTCTAAGTCGCCACCGCTGATTCGAACAATGATGGAGTTAGGGTCTACAAATCTCTGTTCTACGGCCTCAAAGAGATTCACTTGAGAGACAGCGCCACAAGCACTTCTGAGACGACCGCTGTGAGAGTCGATCCAGCCGCGTCTGAGAGCCGTGGCCAGACTCAGTCGGTGGGGCGGTTGGGGTTCATGACGGGTTACTTCAATGGTAGGAATATTTTGTGCTGCTAGACGCCGTATCAGAGGCAATTTGATTGCCGAAATTGCTGTTCCGTCGGTCATTGTGACGGGCACAAGATTACCCAGAAGATGTAAGTCGAGAGGCAGTTTTGAGCTGTTGGCCATGACCTATGCAAAACGAGAAGCATTAAAAAATGGTTTTATATCGTTATTTTGCTCAGGAAAATCATGATAAGGCTTAAATTAAGGCGTGATAAATGCGAAAAGTGATCTCCAAAATTAAAAAGGTTTCCAATGGACACAATTTGGCTATTTTCGATTGTTAGCCAAATACTTACACTCTTCTGGTCAGATTTGGCGACCTCTTCCTTTTTAATAAACAGGTCTTCTTTTTGCTTGAAGGTAACAGTCAAAGATCGAAGAGCGAAATCACCTTCTACTGTACGATAGTAGATGGAATCGAAAGGTCGAATAGCAAGATCGTCACAAGGAGGACGGAGCTGTGGAACGACTCGAATCAAGCCTTGCTGATGCGCGTCCTCAAGAGTGATGGTCTCCCTTGTTCCCGTGTGAAGATAAAGCCCACAGACTGGGTCAAAAAGATTTGAAGTCAGTGCTTCTTCCACTGGAATCAATGCTTTTGCGTTGACATCGTAAATTCCTTCCACGAGATAGACGTCATGCCTTTTGTGAAAAATCTCAAGCCAGTAGGTCGTCTCACCGGTTTGCTTAACTGTGGATTTCGTGAATATAAGACCAACTATAACGCTCTTTTCCAACGCTTCTCCAACCGTAATCATTGCCCCGGAGTCTGAGTCATAGACGAGGTTGTGGTCGACATTCACACGACCCTCGCGAAGCATCGCTCGTGTGATGGCTGTCTCCACACGAAGAGATTGCTTTGGTGAGATGAGATAGAAGCCAGAAACTACACAGTATCGTGTGAGCTTGCGTTTCAGAGGTTTGCGCTTCATTTGGCTCTCCTCTAGAGAAACTGAAGGGGAAACCTTTCGTCGTCTACGACGACGAGATCCACCGGTTACAAAGTAGTCACCTACGTCTTTGCTTTCCAAACCATTGGCAGAATAAGGTAAGAAGAGAGAACGCATGCTTTCTGACGACCGGTGAGAGGAGGGTGCATTATAGACACTTCGATTTTCCTCCGTCTCATGGATCTGTAAAGTTAGTAGGCACAATACTATGTCAACTGCAAAGAATGGAAGAATTCGAATAAATTGCGTGTGCAAACTTACCGCATTTCTTATAACCGTCAGATTATTAACAATTTTGCTTTCTAATGCTTGAAATTGTGTGTTAAGACTGGCCACAGTAGATTCCAGGGCAACAAGATCTATTATTCCAATGCCAGGTGGTCCAACAAACCGTGTGTTGGCGGTTTCTATGGCGGCAAAGGGAAGACAACTGACTGTACGTTTGTAGGCATCGCCTCTAGCTGAGGAGTCCTATAAATAAAAATATTGCTCACTGGTATATACCATATATGCAGTTAGTTTGAGAAAACGATTAACCTTTAAGCTGTTTCATTGTTCGGGCCGTAAATTCATAGTCAAAAGCGTACGCAAGTTTTTAGTAGACAAGGGTGCGAACTATAGAAATGCGTAAATTGAAATGATATACTCTTTAATAGCTACAACTTTGGCTATTTCATGCTTTACTAGTTGTAAGCATGAGTGTCTTACCTCAAGTAAGCGAGTTAAAAGTTCGTAGGTCTGATTAAGCTCCTTCATTCTGGCTTTACAATGCACGGATTCGGCTGAAGCGCGCTCCAGATTCTTTGCAGCAGTACTGGAGGCGAGATTCCTATGAGATCCGCTCTTGATTCTCTTTTCTATGGCTTCAACAAGGTCCGAAGTCTCCCTCACCCATAGAGACAGACCTCTTCGCAAAGTGATAGCTGTTTTGTAGCTTTGGGACATTTGTGCTAGCTCCTGATTCCTAAGGGGTCAACGAATTGATCACTTTTCACTTTTTCCAGATCCGTTGAATATGGTAGGGCAACCTATGCTCCTTGACTACACACCACTATTTTTGACTAAATTGCGTTCTTTAGGCCAGGAACCATGTAACACCTCATTGACAGGTACTTCTTGCTTAAAACCAAATGGTATCAAAATCTTCTACGCCAGTCCTAAGGAGATCTTACATTGAGTCAATTTGGTTGACAAGATTCCCCAATCTTGTACTGACGCCAAAGATGGACTTCTCCAAAAGTGACGTATTCGGAGGTGGCAGGCGGTGATTGCCCTTACCGGTGACTTTGGTGATGCCTTGCGTTGATAGAGCAGTGAGATGATGAGGCAACTGCTCCAACATTTTCCGCAATCCTCCCAATGCCACCGTCACATCCTAAGCGATCGCAGATGAATGGCATTTAGATTCATTAAGCGTTTTTTAAGTAGTGTTCCAACATTTCTGATGCGTTTTACTTGAATGTGCAGTTCTATTACACTAGTACAATAAAATCGACATTCATTTACTTTTGCTCACGCCATCGTAATTTGCTCAGATGTCACAACACTGGCAGTGCTTGGCTTTAATGGTTATTATCTCAGAATCGTGGATGTCTGATATGAAGCGCTTTGACACATCAGTAAAGAATGCTGTCTCTTGTGGTAACTACTTGTCTCAACTCCAGATAGGGCCCTACACGAACAATCCAGAGTATACACGTGCGGGAATAGTTCGTGAGTAAAGTCACATGAAACAAGAAAAGAAACAGGAAACTGAAAATCTCATGGTTTCGGTTTTATAGAATGTTGCCAAAGGCATGAAAATCCCATTCACGTGCCTTTAACTGATCACGAATATTCTGAACGTTGTTGGTTTCCATTTCAGAGGCATCACTGCGCAACGATGACTTTGAACTGGAGAGATTCTGTCGCGGAGAATGCATACGACCCTCTATTTCCACCACTCTCTGTTCTCCTTCAGCCAATTCGCGTTGGAGACTATCGAGACGCGTGAGAATCGCGTCCACTTCGGCTAATCGCCGTGCAGTCACCTTTCCTGCATTAGTGAGTTCATTTGCCGCGGCCAGCAGTGCGGCACAACCCGACTTCTCACTGATCAGTTTTTTACACGCTGACTGCTGTCTGTTCGTCATGCGTTCCAAGTGTTCTCTGATTTGATTTACGGATCTGGACCACTCCTTGATGAACAGTTAATGCAAAACAAACTGATGCGTACTACAGGCAAGCTAACAATGGACCAAATGAGGGCCGAAATGAACTCACTTTGTGGTCCTTTAATGCAGCTTCCAAAGTGACTAACTGATTGGGAAGAACCTGTCCAGCTCTCTTTCGCAGATGATCGGCTAATGCATTGAGTGTGGTCTCAATGCGTTTGAGATCAATTGTGGCATTCTTTTCCATAGGATCCAGTGTATTATCATCCCCATTCTGCAAGGATTTGAAGCACTGCTCGCTCTCTTGCTGGAATACCTCAACTTCCCGTACGGGCTTATTTGCCAATCGCATTCCAACCAAATGGCGTTGAGTGTCCTCATGGAGTTGCTGCATCAACAGAGTTGGGAACAAGTAGTCATAATTAACAAAACAATTAACACGATTACTTTATCGGTGTATTCAGAACAAACAAGCCTATTTAGAGTGGATAAAATGTCCATTTAAACGTTTGCAATGATTTTGTTGAATGTATGCAAGCCTTGTGTTTAGTGTAATTGCATGGAAATGGGACGCCAGAACTACCGCCTTTTCCCCTTCAAAGCGTTGTAAAAGTTTTAATGGGAAACAATACATATAACAGCGCCAATTTTCAAAAGGCGCCTCATATCATAGACATGATTTCGACAACATTCGTCAAAATGCCGAGTTAGGTCATGATTTAGCGTACCCACACTTAGCCATATAGAACACGATTCGTGTAGACTTTTTAAATGTTATTATGCTATCTACAAATTCAAATCAAATCATTTTCAAGACTCATAAAATATTATCTATTTTGGAGGTATTAGTACCTAATTTGTAGACACAAAACAAATCTCGTATTTTAGATCTGCTCAACGCTTCGCCTAGAATGCTTAAAGGTGAAAGGTTGAATGAAATCAGATTCTGTAATACATTCGTTATTTACCCGCATGAGTTGTTGCCCTTCAACGGCTGAAAGTTTTGGCAATGTTCCAGGAAGTGATTGCATTGTAGCCTTCAGCAGACGACCATGAAGCTCCAAGTCTGTATCGGCCCAGAGTGCTTGCAGACACTGAAAACGGGCGACCACATCCTGAGCCTTCGCCTTAGCCTCCTGACACGGGCACGCTGGTAAGAAACAAACTGCTGGAGCCTCTATCTCCTCCCCATTTGAGTGCCTTAACTGCAGGTATAAAAAAAACAATGGATGAAATTCCTTCCAGCTCAACATTTGTACCATGTATTCATTTGAAGCTACAAATCATTGCACCTTCAGAGTAAAGTCGCCTGACTTTGCAGAGACTGTCATTTGTTCCCCCTTGTTGAAGTTTCCAGACGGCCAAGTGACGATGGCCGGATCACTTTGTTCTGGCGCCAACTCCATATAGTGGGGTTCGCTGTTGGGTGCGAAGAGACAGATGGAAATTACCGACTCATGCGGATTGTTTGGAGGCACTAAATCGACTATTTCATCACTCGATTCGACCAATTTGTCCACAAGAAATCCTTGTCCTCTGATCGCCTCGCCAATATCCTTCAAATATTTAGTGAAGGCAATAAAATCGGAGCAATAATATTCAATCAAGTGAATTTATAATAAGTTTTTTAGCACTCACAGCAGTCTTCGTCATAAATTCACTAGCACTTTCAACAGTTATGTGCCCTGAGGCTGCGGCCAACTTTATTTCATTGATCTCTTTCGTCTTTGTGGTGAGGAAAGTCTCTATTTCTTGTGCTTCGTTGAAGAATTGCTGAAATCGTACAGTTCGATCCAGACGGGTTTCAAGGCAGTGAGTTAGTTGTAGTAGCCATGCCCAATGACTGTCCAGTGAGGTCAAGTAAGTCTATAAGTGGGAAGTATGGTGTTTGCATGACATGCAGAGGAAGAGTAACAAGGATAAACCATTTCCATTTCCAGTGCTTTTCTCCAAAAGCATCAAAACAAATAAACGATGTACCTACGACCTCGTGCTTGAAGAGTGTAGATTCTGAAATTGTGACCCACTTTAAGGGGGGGACAAAACTTAATCTCCACTCTGGCGTGTCTGACAGTTGATGAAGGCAACTAGCATTGTGATTGAAGGTATGACATTCCTTACAATGGGAACAGAGAGTACCTACTTGAATTAAATCGAAGGAAGGATGGCCTTCAAGATGCAAGGAAGATCCAAGGGTACTGATTTCATTAAATTGCTGTTCCTGAGATTGAATTTCTCTAAGAAGGCCCTATAATCCGCAAAGCAAATGAGTTGAGCTAAAATGTTGGATAGAAGTTTGTCGGCATAATAGCTGCTCCAATGTAGCAATCAAAGGTACGCCCAAGCAAAGAGGCGTTGTTATTTAGCCGTAGTCAAGGTAAGCCAAAATTTGGTAAGTCCAAGGATGTATCGTCGCATAAAACTCCGAATGTCATCACATGCCACTGAAGACATTTAAGTAACCGAAAGGTAAATTGGATTGTGCATTCGTTTGTGCCTCAATTCAGTGTCAAGCCATTCTGACCATGGGCACCGCCAATAGCATCCGTCTATTAACTTGTTAGTTAGGAGTATAAAGTTACAATTTCTTCAATTTACCAGGTTTCTCCACTTTGAAGAAATAAAATGCACAAACACAACATCAAATACTCACTTGAACGAGATTAAAATTGGACTAGAAATAGAGGGTAAAGTATACGTTTAAAAACCAGTAATAAATGATGAAGTGAAGAAAATGACCTTTGGTTTGCTTATTTGTCTTGAAGGTCGTGGGCTACATCAGCACCTTTCTTTATCGCAATAGAATTTGGGTAAGGTGCAGGGAATACGGTTAGAAAGGATTGGGGAAATGTGTCGAAAGGCTGCTTAGACTTGGAGGGATATGTGCATACATTATGATCCGGAGTTGAAGCAAAAGTATTTGTGATTTTATTTTCTGAGTACCCTGGACAAAATCACGAGTGGACACGTAAACAGACAGTCAGTCAGCAGAGAACAGTACAGCTTTATTACTTGGTAGGACACTCTACCATGCATCACCTGTACAAGTGAAGATTCCCTCAAGCTGAATTGTTAATGATTAATGTGAATTCTTTTTGCCAATAGGATTTGATTTCAGCGATGCATATCTAATGTGCCAGTGGTATAAAGAAAGATAGTGGATTACCCGAAAGAATTCGTAAATTTCAGCCGATTGCAATTCATGCGGGGAAGACCAAATTCGCGTGACTTCGATGGTCTCCTTCTCTCGCAACCACTGCATGGAGCTGCTGGCACGTTCGACGAAGACAAGGAGGGAACGACCGAACTCAAAACGTCTTTTGGACTTTTTCTAAACGCATGAAAAAGGTGAGTACGTTAAATCCTGTAACAGATAAGCATAGACTGGATAGATTAACTCACCAGCAGTTCATCGTACTGGTTTTCAATCTGATTCATGATAACGTCGAAAAATTTCACCTCATCGCCAGATACTTGGGTCCTTAAGGCTCGGCAACCTTCAATCTCAGAGTGGAACTTTTCAATCTCCTTGTGAACGAGCTCAAAGCGCTTTGTCGCATCGACAATGGCTGGCGGTAGGAAAACGCAACTTGTGAGAAGCAATGAAATTACCGCTTTGTTAAAAGCTCAAATCAGGATGTTTACTATCACGCTTTTTCATCACTTTGTATTCTAACCATTTATTTGTTTCGAAAAGGAAAACAGAATATCTAGGGGAAGAAGTAACAATAAATTTTTTGTTCCGGGATACGATAACGCTTTGATTTTAAGTTTGCTTTCGCGGAAAGGAGTTCCTTGTTAACAGTGAAGGATAAAGAAATAACGTGTCCAGAAAGCACTTCTAGTGCTGATAAACGCATGGGAAAGGTGTATTCTTAATGCAATTCAGACCATTTCTAGAACATTGACGCAACCTCACCACAATTACCATGGGAACACGAGGCCGATGGTC